AGTATAACGTTCAGATGAATTTCTGGCATCGGGTTTACTGAAGGTCTCAAGCCCCAAACGCGCACATACGGGCACGGATGAACCCAAGCTCATTCAGAGCTGGCCGTCTCGACCTTCTCAAGATGCTGGCAGACAACAGAAAGAATGATGTCCTCGTCTCGAAGCCTGCTGCGTATCTCCATCATGTCGAGATCCGTGGGCAGCTCCTGCAGGAAGAGGGGGAGGAGAAGGGGAGTGCGAGGAGAAGAAGCAGGAGGGGGAGGGGAACCATGAAGACGATGAAGCTCCTCGAGGTACTGTGTGAGGATGTCCTTGCTGGCCGAGATGTCCATGGCGACCGCCCCCGCGTCGGACCCGGAGATGCCCTGAGAGGAGGAAGGAGGGATGACACTGGTCTTCACCCATTGCATTCACACCATGTACGCGTGGGGAAAAAGACAAAGAGAGAGGGATCTATATATATATATATATATATATATAGAAAGGGAGGGACAGGGAAAAAGAGAGAGCAAAATAAAGAAATACCGGTATACATATATATATATATATATATATATATATATATGTGTGTGTGTAGAGAGAGAGAGGGAGAAGAAAAAAAAGAAGGAACAAAAAGCAAGCAACACGAAACCAGAAGGAAAGAGCAAAGGATACTGCCGCCACTGGGACGGTCCAAAACGCCCAGGAAGCCCCCAGAGGCCCCCAAGAGTCCCCCGAGGCCCGAAGAGGCCCCCAGGAGGCCCCAAGAGGCCCCCAGGAGGCCCCAAAACACATGCCCCAAAAGAGGCTCCCAAGACCCCCAACAGGCCCCCAGGAAGCGCCAAGAGGCTCCCCAAAAGCCCCGAAGAGGCTCCCCAGAGGCTTCTAAACTGCTCCCCAGAGGCTCCCGAGAGCCTTCCGAAGAGACCCCAAGAAGCGTCCATGAGGACTCCAACCCACATCCCAGGTACGTCTCGAAAATCTGCCAGCGCTCTCTTGAGCCATCTTGGCGCCCTCTGGGGCAGTCTATCGGCTCGATTCGATGGGGTGCGAACCACATTTCCAAAGATCTCCTCGAGGACAGACCTGCCTGCCATACCGCTCACAATGGGTACGAGCACACCACCATGCAGCAGAGGTGGTGCGAAATGAGCCGGCGGAATGAACGAAGCGATTCAATAACTCCTCCCTGTCGCACCCCGAGGCATGTCCTAATGACGGGCTGGGCGTTTCGCCTGAGACTTCCTCACCACGTGTGATCTCCAAGCTGAAACCAGTTTCACGGATGGAGGGCGGGTGGTTTTCAACATGTGGCTCTCGCCTTAGCGCTGAGCGCGTTCGTCTGAAAATTTGCATACGCTTCACGATTGGAGGGCGGGCCGTATTCAAAACGTGGCTCTCGCCTGAGCACCGCGCACACTCGTCTGGAAAGTTGGCAAACGTTTCACGGGTGGAGGGCGGGCCGTCTTCAAAATGTGGCTCTCCCTTAGCGCTGCGCGCAGTCCTTTTTCACGGATAGAGGGCGAGCGGATTTCAAAATATGGCTCTCGCCTTAGCGCCGCGCGCACTCGTCCTAACACTTTGCAAGAGCTTCTCGGATTTAGAGCGGTATCTGTTCAACGTGAGGCTCTCGCTTGAGCGCTGCGCACAGTCGCCTTAATAGTCTACAACCGCTGAAAGAACAGTTTATTCTGCCTGACGTCCCAGACATAGGATCGTCTGGGCGCCTGGGCGCAACAGTCACGTTGTTCCGCGGCGGCAAAGTCCCAGGAGTGGTGTTCTGGGAAGGCTCTGGATTTCAAACAGTTGTCTTCTAACGAGGTACTTCCATCAGTGAAAATGAACCCTCACAGGGAACTGTGCACAAGGAACTTGGAGGGAAGGCTTCTCGCAACAGCGTTGGTGAGCCTTGAGTTTACACTGGTCATCCCATCCTCCTCCTCCTCCTCCTTCTCCTTCTCCTGCTCCTTCTCTTCCTCCTCCTCGTCCTCGCTCCTCGCTCCTCGCTTCTCGCTTCTCTCTTCTCTCTGGTGGCCTCCTTTCCGCACCCGCCTGCGCCTGCGCCGCGGGGCGCTCTCAAAGGGTGCTGGGAGGAGGCCGTACCTGCAAAAGATCTTCCACCCTCCGCCCGCTGCCAAACATTCACTGTGGGCCTATACACCGTAGCAACGCCTGTCCCGCGAACCGTGCAAAAGGCGTGCTCTGCCCTGGTCCGAAAAATGCCACAAACAATCCCAACTTGGAGGCCGTCTTGCGCTGCCCACTGGCTGACCACAACGTGCGCCGAAACGAGGAGGTGTGCGCGCATGCCGTAAAGGCATGGGTGACATCGACCTCTGGGCTGTGGCATGCATCACAGTGGGCCAGAAGAGCAACCCCTCCTCCTTCTCCTCCTTCTCCTCCTCTTCCCCTCCTCCCGAATATAATCCTCTTCGCCGTCTGTATCTTCGTCTTAGCCTTCGACTTCGCCTTCGTCTTCGTCGTCGTCGCCGCCGGCTTCGGCTTCGTCTTCGTCTTCGTTTTCGTGTTCGCGTTCGTCGTCGTCGTCATTTTCATCGCCGCCGCCGCCGTCGTCATCCTCGTCGTCCTCGTCGTCGTCGCCTTTGCCGTCGTCGTCGTCTTCGTCGTCGTCGTCGTCTGTGCCGTCGTCGCTGCCGCCGCTGCCAGACCGCCGCCGCCGCCCCTGGGAAGGCAGTGATTCCTGGCTCCTCGCACGAGCTGGCAGCCTCCTGCGCCGTGCTTCGCCGCGCGGCGAGCCGGGACCCGGCGGAGCCCCCGGTGCGGCGAGCTCTGCCGGGCTCCCGCTCTGACCCAACCCGCCCACCGTCGGGGAGCAGGGAGGGGGGGGAGGAGGGAGGGGGAGGATGAGGATGGGGATGAGAATGAGGATGATGATGATGAGGATAATGATGATGATGATGATGAGGAGGAGGAGGAGGAGGAGTAGGAGGAGGAGGAAGAGGAGGGGGAGACGAAGGATGATGAGGAGCAGGAGCAGGAGCTGGAGGAAGAGGATGACGATGATGATGAGGAGGAGGAGGAGGAGGGGGAGGAGGAGGAGCAGGAGCAGGATCAGGAGAAAAGGATGATGATGTTAATGATGATGATGATGATGATGATGCTGATGATGGTGATGATGATAGTGGTGATGATGATGATGCTGATGGTGATGATGAGGAGGAGGAGGGGGAAGAGGAGGATGAGGAGCAGGAGGAGGAGGATTGATTAGAGGAGGTGGAGGAGGTGGAGGATACGGCCACGCGAACATGTCTTGCTGCAGCAGGTCCCCACTAGCCCGGCCAATTTGCAATCCTGTATCTCTACAGGCTATGACGAGCCAGCTCGCAGGGCCGGCCTGCGACCTCATTTGTGGCCTAACAGCGCGCAGCAGAGCCAACCATCATACAGTCGGGGCGTTGACCAAGGAACCCTAAATAAGGAGCGAGGCCCCTTTTTCCGCAAGTTAAACTTCGATGTCCGATCGAAAGCCTAAGGAAAGCCTGAGGCAAGCTGCGAAACAATCAAGGAACACGGAGCCCCTCCCCAACGAAAAAGGTTCCTTCTTCAGGGCCCCGACTGTACCTCCTTTGTTGCCCAACAGCGCGCAGCAGAGCCAACCATCATACTTTGCATGACAGCACGCAGCACAGCCTATCAACCTTGCTAAAAAACTGCAGCTCTTCACCTCGCCATCGTTCGGACGTCCATTCCCTAAGTTTATTGTTCGGTGTCGTGCGTGGCTTTTCCGCCAAATGATCAACGATGCTCCTCGATGGCCCTCGCCGAGAAAAAATGCACATGTCCGAGCGATGCCAAGTTACGGCAGCCTCCTCCAATAGCCTACCATCCGCAAGACCGCATCTACTGGCACGACAGGCCAGCCCTCGGGGCCAGCCTACACCTCACAGCTTGCCTCTGACAGCGTGCAGCTCAGCCAGCCTCGCTCTTACCTTGGAAAGGGGATGGGCTGGTTATGGCTTTCGTATTCTAGCGGGGGGTCTTGGCGGGAAGGAAGTACCAGGGTTGGGGTCAACCTTAAACCCTGGACAGCAATTTTAGAACTGCATTATTTCAGTTTCGCACCTTAACTTTCCGAGGCGACACTCACCATTAATCAAGAGGTTCTCTACTATTAAGGTCTCTGTTGCTGGCAGGAGGGGGTGTTCATCCACTGAGATGTGTGCCGTCCCCTACCTGGCGGTCGCCTATCATATTTTCTTTACTTTTCCTGCGCTTTTGTTCCTTCATTTTCCGCGACGCCCGCCAGGTAACTGTGACCCGAGTCGGTTCTATTGTTTTAGCACTTACAAGAACGCGACAGGCTAGTTCATCACGCTGGTCTAACGCAAGAAGGAGGAGGAGGAGGAGGAGGAGGAGGGAGGAGAGGAGCGAGAGGAGAAGGAGAGGGAGAGGAGAGGAGGAGAGGAGGAGGAGAGAGGAGGAGGAGGAGGAGGAGGAGGAGGAGGAGGAGGAGGAGGAGGAGGAGAAGGAGGAGGAGGAGGAGGAGGGAGAGGAGACAGAGAGCCCCTCTCTCGACTGCGACCGCCCCTGCGTGGCCGCGGGGGCCGGCCCTGCCCGTGTCCGGCGTGGGCCCTCTGGCTTTTGGAGGGCTCCCCCGGCGGGCCCCGCGGGGGGCGGGCGGCCGCGGGCGGGCGCCGCCGGCGAGCTCCCGCGGAGGTGGTCTGGGCCCGCGCCTCCGCAGACGACGCGTGGGTCCACTCTGGGGCTGCTTTTCTACAGGGCAGTTGCTACTACATCGGATTTTTTTAACATTGGGTTTTCATACATGATTAATTTACGAAAAAAATGTATGTATGAACTCATCGTTGTTTTCAGTGCTAGATCTCTGCATTTTGAATACATGATCCGCACGCGGAGCATGTATTCAAAACGGCACTGTAAGATCAGGCGCGTCCTCTTACAGGCGGGTTTTGGAAGAGCAGTGAGCAATAACCAGAGCATATACAAACAGGACCAGACACAGTCGAAACATCGCCCCGTGCTTATTCTCTACTCTTCTGGAACATATGCAAGCGTATCCAGACATGTCGAGAATTCGCCCCGCAGCTGTTTTCTATTATTCTTGAATGTTTCTCCTGGAGAGGGCCGTGCCCGGCTTGCGGTTGCTTCTCCTTGCTCGCTGCGTGGTCCCTCCGTCGTGTGGGGGCCTCAGGTGAGCCCCCCCTCCCGTCTCGGATCAGACTCGTGGCAAGGGCTCCCAACTTCGCGCTTCGCGCTGCGCGAAGCGCGAAGTGCGAATAACTGCGCGCTCTCGCGCCGCCTCCCATGGGAGAAGGAACAAAAATGAGAAAAATCCGAGCCGAACCTCGAAGCGCGAAGCGCGAATAGCTTCGCGCCCTCGAGGGCGCCCTTGTGTGGGTCCCTCGGCGTCGCCGCACGCACGCATGCCCCGCAAGGGCTCAACCAACCAACGACTCTTGCCGCCCCCCCCCCTCCAGCTCCTCGCGCCTCCCTCACCCCCCACGCTCGGCTGCCGCGCCACCGTTCGCCACCACCGCCACCCCTTCCCTGCTCCCTCCCCTCTCCTCCCTCCTCCCCCATCCTCCCCCCCCCCTCGACCTCACACCTCCTCCCCTTCCTCCCCGTTTCCCCCCTCCCCTCCCTCCCTCCCTCCCCTCCCCTCCCTCCCTCCCTCCCTCCTCCGGCGCTCCGTCGTAAGCGGCGGTCCTGGACCGTCTTGAAGATCGAGAAGCCCTGGTTGGTGAGGTAGCCGATCTCCGCGTTAGGGTGGAGGCTGAAGAGCTCCGGCGCCTCCTGCGGGAACTTGTCCTCAATCACCTTGGCGTACCTCCAGGGGAGCGGAGCTCGAGGCCCCAGGCTTTTGGGCGTCTCTGCCCCCTTCACAGGCGTCCTGAGGCCTCCTGGGGCCTCCTGGGCCCCCCTGGGGGGGCCTGCGGGGACCTTTGCGTATGTACCTCTCGCGGGCCACTCGGCCTCCGCGCGCGTTGCCCAGGGCCCTCTCGGCCCTGCGGCTCGACGTGGCCACCCGGCGCGTCGCGGGGCGTTCTGTGGGTTCCCGGGCCCTCCTACCCCCTCTAGGCGTGCAAGCACGTGTGATCTCGTGGATGGATGGCTGATCGAGTGGGCAGGGCTGATCAAGTGCGCGCCTAGGTGCAGCAACAAGCGGGCAGGCCCCACTAAGCCCCCCAGAGCCACCCAGACTGCCCCGAAAGGCCAGAGCCAGCCCAAAGAGCCCCCATATACATCTAGCGTCCTTCGACGCTAGGCAATCGAACGTCCGTCCGAAATCAGGGACGCGGAAAGGCATCCCTGGCAGAATCGTCAACAACCGACGCCACGGAATTGACCGAACGCCCGCCGTTCCGCGGTGCGAGTGCATGCGCGTGCGCAACCACGACGGTGTCCACACGTCCACACATGCGTTCCTACACAAGGCGCGCGTTGGGACGCTCAACACAAAAGTATCAAATGATAGTCATCTTTGAAAGGGGGCCCATACCCGACAACGAGCGGAGCGTGCTGTGGAAATCTTACGCGTGTGTGTGTGTGTGCTAGCATAAACATAATCAGATGTAATGTCTGTCCTTCCGTGCCAGCCAAGAGTCGCGCTGCCGCATCCTCCTCACTGATTCACATCCTGCCCATGCCCCGCCTACTCCACTTCCTCCTCCACCTCATCCTCCCCTTTACTCTCCGCCTCCTCCTCTTGATACTCGCTCCACTCCGCCTCGCGGTCGTCGTCGTCGTCCCCCTCCTCCTCCTCCTCCTCCTCCTCCTCCTCCTCCTCCTCCTCCACCTTCTATCTTTCTCCTCCCCTCCTCCTCCTCCTCCTCCTCCTCCTCCTCCTCCTCCTCCTCCTCCTCCTCCTCTTCCATCTCCACAACCTCCGCCTCGAACTCCTTGCCCCCCCCCCCCCCCCTGCTTGCTCTCCTGATGACGTGCCTGTGCCTCCTCCTCCACTTCCTCCTCCTCCTCCTCGCCTTCACGCAGGTGTGACCACCGATGCGCGTCTTGCCCAATCGCTGCGGGCGATGCTCCAGCAGCGCCCGGCGTGCGCACACCTGGAAGCCGCGCGCACCACAGGTCACGCTGACGGAGGAGGAGGAGGAGGAAGGAGGAGGAGGAGGAGGAATGAGGAGAGGAGGGGAGGAGGAGGAGAGAGGAGGAGGAGGGAGGAGGGAGGAGGAGGAGGGAGGAGGAGGAGGAGTAGGAGGAGGAGGGAGGAGGAGGAGGAGGAGAGGAGGAGGAGGAGGAGGAGGAGGAGGAGGAGGAAGGAGGAAGAAGGCCACTCTTGGACTGCGATCGGTGCGGAGGGCACGTGCTGTACTCCGACTTCGCCGGGTCCGGCGAGCGGAAGCCCTGGGAGCACATGCGTTTGGCTCGGCGCACGGGGGGGGCGAGGCGGCGGCGGCGAGGGGGCAGCTCGAGCGGGGGGCGCGCGGAGGCGTCGCCAGACGAGGGACACCGCCCTCGCAGGTCAGCGCTGCCTCGGAGGCTGGGGACTGCGAGTGCGGTGGCCCTCTCCAGGAGCCCGTGCGGCCAGCAGGGCGCCGTCTCCACGACGAAGCCGGGGGGCGAGGATCACATCGGGCGAGGATGAGAAACGAGAAGCAGATCGGGCGGCTCTGGAGGACGTCTCGGGCGCCGCGCCGAGAGCGCGCCGCCGCGCTCTGAAAGCATGCGGGGACGCTCTAGAACGGATTGGTCCTCATCCTGGCCCCGTCCGGAGGGAGGGGCTCCGGGATGCGAGGCTCCGACCATGGGACCGCGAAAACCGACGCAGGATGAAAAAGCGGCCGTTAAGAGCGGCGACGACGACGACGCCGCCGTCGCCGTCGCCGCCATCGTCGTCGTCGTCGTCGTCGCCGTCGTCGTCGTCGCCGTCATGGCCCCGTCCGAACCTCCCCTCACGATCCAGCTCACCAGCGGCCGCTGCCGTCCGGGAACGGGGCCTCCATCTCACAGGAGGCGTCCGAGGAGCACGTCGGGGAAGAGGAGGGAAGGGGGCAGAGGGAAGCAGCCGAGGCGAAGGATAGGCATACAGTAGGGGCTCGACCACAACAAACCTTCCACAAGAAACCCAACCCTGAGACCCCAGGACGTCCATCGGTCTTTGGCTTGGGAACGTCGCGCGCTTCATCGCAAAAACTACTAAAACCCAAGAAACCCAGGGCACCCTGGAGGCAAGCAAGGTGCTTCTTGGTATGGGCCTCCACTGTAAAGAAACGGAGACACGCGAAACTCAAACGTTCCGTGAGCGGAAGTGGCAAGCATGGAACGGCTGGCTTGGGCTGCAACGGACCCCAAGGCGAACATGTTGGGACGCACCATGTCATACAAATACTAGATGTCCTCCTTGGAGGCGTGCGCCCGACTCGAACATCTAGATAATATATCCATCTTGTAGTGTATAGTTTCCCGAGCGGCATGGCCAGAAGGCGCCCGCCACGGAGCTTATACTAAAAGATGTCTCGGCGCGCGCGTCGCCTCTGCGGGGGCGACGCACACAGAGTATCAGTATGTTAGGGTGGCGGCGATATTGAGGCTAGGGCTGGGACGACGTGATGAGCACAGGAAGAACTTGCCAGCCCGAAGATACCTGGACGACCAGGATCCAACCACTCTGTGCAGCTTCCCTGTGTAGAAGGGCAGACGGATAACTACTTGGGGGTATCCGGGGTGTCCGGGGGTGCTTTACGGGGTTCAGGGTGGTCCCAAGCGGCGAGGATGAGTAAGATGTGCACGCTCGGGCCAGGAGCAGGAGGAAAAGACAACAGGGGGGGTGGTGACCGCTCGAGCTGGGCAGTCGCGTCATATACTTGGGCAGCGTGGGAGAGTAGCACAGCGACATACAACTCAGATCCACATGCGGCGGACCTGCCCAAATGAAAATCATGACGTCGGTTCCCAGCCAAGTAAGCAATGAGAAACACCTACGGCGATAAGTCCACACGGGTAGGACCAAGGGCTCCGGAACCCCACGCATTGAATAAACCAGAACGTCGGCAATCTCCAAGCCTGGACCCAATAACCCCGGCGATCGCAGACGTCACGCCTTGGACGGGTCCCTGGGCGAGGCCATCAGCCCTCCAAAGCCTACCCTCGCCCCTACCCCCTAAAAAACGACATCGGGAACCACCCAGGAGGAGGAGGAGGAGGAGGAGGAGGAGGAGGAGGAGGAGGAGGAGGAGGAGGAGGAGGAGGAGGAGGAGGAGGAGGAGGGGGAGGAGGAGGAGGAGGGAGGAGGAGGAGGATGAGGTGAAGAAGCAGGAGGAGGAGGAGGAGAGAGAGAGAGAGAGAGAGAGGGACAAGGAACAGTCCGCCACAGTGGTCCCTGGCACGTTCAGGCGTAGGGGTTCGTGGGGGTTCCTTAGGTATTCTAAGGCCCGCTCCGCCTCTCCTCACGCTCACCCGCATGCATCCCCACCCTCTCCCGAGGGTCCCTGGACGGCCCAACGCCGCCCTGGGGCATCCTTGAACTTCCTCTAGAGCTTCCAGGATTGAAGGACACAACGGCCGCCAAAATGGCACAATAAGAAGCACTGCGTGGTTGCCAAGATGCCTTCGGCTGGCCAAGACACCCTCAAGATGCTCTCAAGGCCCTCGCGAGGCCAAGAGAGAATGGTTTCCCGATGGTTGCTTCATGTGTGTTGCTCTCCAAGCTCGTTGTTCGAAGGTCGGCCCACTTGCCGTCGTTGAGGGCTCAAAGGGCCCCTCGTCGGCCAAGGAAGGTTCCAAGAGAGCCCCAAGCTGGCCCAAGCAGGCATCCAGAGCAGCACAAGGCCCCTAAGACGCCCCAAGCAGCCACCCCAGGTGGTTCGACAACGGCCCGAAGGGACCCCTCAGACGGCCAAGAGAGCCCCAAGATGGCAGTAGCCAGGCAAGCCCAAGAGGACCCCAAGACGGCCCAGAACGAGCACAGAGCCCCCCACGACTGCCTCACAGGAGCCCACGACAGCCCCACGATGGCCCACGTAGTCTCCACGGGAGCTCTTCGACAAATGGTGACCGCGTGTGTCACATGTGACGGCCATCTTGGCGGTGTTCGAAGAATGGCCACAATAAGTGCTTCGCCTCGCCATAGCTCGGACGCCCATTCCCTGTGTTTTTTTTTCGGTTTCGTGCGTGGTTGTTTCGCCAAATGATGAAGGGTGCTCCTCGATGGTCCTCGCCGAAGGAAAACTGCACACGTCCGAGCGGTGCCAAGTCGCTGGCACGTTGGCAGATTGCCGCAGGCACCTAAGATGCTAACAACAATTAACGCACGTCCCCGGCCAGCCAACATGCGCCCGACATAACATGGATGGGCGTGAGCGGGAGCACATCACTCCGGTGAAGTTGCTATCAGTTGCTGGGTGTGCTTGCAGACAGTGCGCAACAACGCTTCAACACGTGCAATCAGAAGATGCGAGGTGGTGCCGTGCGAGGCCCGCATATCAGGGCAACATCAGCATAGCATGTGAAAGCAAACCAAATCAAAAGCGAAGCGAGGCAGATCCCTGCCAGACAGTGCAGTGGAAAGCAGCGCAAACAAGGGCGTACACAGTCGTAGCGAACGGACCAGTTACTGCAGCCTCAACTCGGGAACGCGATAGAAGGCGGATCTAGGCACACCGACGCGGATCAAACATGAAAGCTGTAACGCTTTGTGGAGGACGGGGCTCCATAGTGGGGTTGCGGGTAGCGCAGCGCAGCGCAAGACAACTACGTCGAACGAACGCTTCGCAGACACCGAAGCCCAGCGCCACAAGGGTCGAAAGTAGTTGCGGCGGCTGGCAGACCCTCGCCCACCGACGGGGACAGGGAGGCGTAGGCAGGTGGCAGGGGAGGGGGGAGGGAAAGAGAAAGAGAGAGAGAGAGAGAGAGAGAGACAGGGAGAGAAAGAGAGAAGAAAAGAGAGTAGTAAACAGAGGAAACAACAAATAAGAGAGGGAAATACAGAGAACAACCGAAAGAGAGACAGAGAGAGAGAGAGAGAACAAAGAGAGAGAGAGAGACAGAGCGAGAAAGAGAGCGAGACAGAGGGAGGGAGAGAAAGAGAGAGAGAGAGAGGGATACATCAAGTATGGAGCATGGACAGGAGAGGCGAACGAAGTCGGAGAGGAGACGGGGAGGGTCATCGGGGAGGGGAAGGACGAGGTGCAACGCGAAGGGTTGGCCTTGCACAGCTGCAGCGGCGGCGTGGCCAGCAGCTCGGCTGTGATGAGCATCTCCAGGTACGTATTGTTGACGCGGCGGTCCCAGAAATCTGTGATGTGCCCGCCGTACATGATCTCTCCGAAGATGTACCGGATGTCTGGCAGGGGGCAGCTTCAATTACCTGCAAAATCCTCAGCATGCCTGCGCTGTGATCTGTGTCTGGCAATGCTCCGCCCAGCACTCTGAAGTGGTGGAGGCGAAAGAGGAGGATGGGAATGACATGCACACATCCCCCAATTAGGCGTTGCCTGGACGGCTCTTGCTTGTTTTCTCACAACTAATGGGTGCCGGGCCTGCGATGGCGACCTTGCTCGGAATCATCGGGTTGCTCGGTCTTGTTTCCTTACTGTTTTTGGCGGCCAGCCTTGCCCAGGTTGCTCGGGTTCTTTGGAAGAGGCGTTCCCCAGTTGCCAAAATGCCCAGAAACTCCACGCAATGCCAAACAACGCAAAGAAATGCCAAGCGAAGCAAAGCAATGGCAAGCAATGGCAAGCAATGCCAAACTAAATCAAGCAATGTCAAGGAATTCCAAGCAATGCATAGCAATGCAGAGCAAGACCAAATGCCAGGCACTGCAAAGCAATGCCAGGCAATGCAACGCAATGCGAAGCAACGCCAAGCAAAGCAAAGCCACGCAATGCCAGGCAATGCTTTGCACACCCACGCAACGTCAAGTAATCCCGCAACGCCAAGCAATTCAACGCAATACAATGCCGAGCAACGCAATGCGGCAATGCACTTGCCAAGCAACGCCGCTTCGGAAGTGTTCCCCTCGTTGGAGTCGCGGCGGGTTCATTACCATTCTGACGAACGGGGTCTTGAGACAAGCAGAGGCCCACAAGGCGTGAATCCGGACGCCGCGCCACTGCCGTCGCTTGGAATCCTTTGTCGGGCCCTGTTCGCTGCAAAGGGCCCCTTTCTCCATGACCGCCAAAGTAAAGAGCAGCAATGTTAAGTCGGGCGTGTCTCCCTACAGGGGGATTTTCGACGAAAAAGAAACAACAAAAACCCAACAATACTCCAAACTGGTCAAACAAATACCCCAAAACATGGTCCCCAGACTAACTTTGTTTGACTATATTTGAATCTTCCTCCCGTAGAGGGACAGGCCCGACTGCACAGTAACGGGGGAAGCCTGCCGATGATGGGGAAGCAGTCTTTCCCTCCGCGGGTCGGGAGCGCGCCTCTTCCGGTCGAAAAGCTGAGCGGGCCGCGCGAGGCTTGAATTGGGCGGAGGGGAGGAGGGAGGACGCGGCGGAGCCTCAGCGCGAGGCCGAGAGGATCAATGGAGGGGAGCGGAGGAGGAGGAGGAGGAGGAGGAGGAGGAGGAGGAGGAGGAGGAGGAGGAGGAGGAGGAGGAGGAGGAGGAGGAGGAGGAGGGGGAGGGAGAGCGGAGGGCTCATCCCAGGGCTGCAGCACTCCGCGGGGCCGCTCCCGCCCGCACCGGGCCCTCGCGTGCGGCAGGCGGGCCTCGGAGCCACCTGTCCCTCCGCTGCCGGGGAGACGTAAGACTCGGGTGCGGTTACGTCGGGCGTGTGCCCCTGCAGGGGGATTTTCGACGAAGAAGCAAAAATACTACAAAAAAACACTGCGTGGGGATCCCCATATGTGCATCTCCTTGCTGGCGCTCCCTTGGTGGTGGGACTCGGTGAGGACGAATCTGGATTTAAGTGTGACTGAGCTGCCTC